CAAGTAATTATATTTCACTTAAAATCTACTTAACCTTTTCATATAGGTGGATGTTATATTTAATGTATATTAAAAATGGCCATTTTAATGGTTCCTATTGCTATTTAAAATTAATGAATTAAAAAAAAAACACAAATCAATACTAGGCTGTGGTCTCAGTGCCCCAATAATTTATACATTTCTCAAAGGCATTAACAGCTATTTATACAGTTAATTTGGCAATGACTCATTAAAGAAATATATTTCTGTTCTTGGGTTATCCTGAAAGCTCCAATTTTAAGGATAACATTAACCTTCAGACACATTTTCTTCTCATTTATAATTAATGACCACATAGTAGAGTAGAATCTACAGTCTTGGAAGCAAAGCCAAGTAAAATAAGAATGAAATGCCATCACCTCACTTTAAATCTTCCTAAGTCAGGAGCCTAGTTAGTTTGGGAAGGGGAGATTGTGTCGGGGACAAGTGCCATCTCCTGTCTGTGCTAGGAGTTTGTGTTCCTTATCTTCAGGGATTGCTGAATATCTTCAATGTTCTTGTTGCTTTTGTTTGTTAGAGTATTGCTTTCATTCATGTCTGAGGGTGATGTTACTGACAGTTTCACTTCCTTATTCAGGGATAGACAGATACAGATGTCAAATTCATGAATATTAACCTCAAGGTATTTTAAAAGACTTTTACATTTTACATAGTACAAAAATATTGTGTAATGTTGCTCAAAATAGATCCAGGGCACCTGGAAGAAATTCAGAAGAAACATTCTTCATTTAGAGCTGAACTTACATAAGCTAAACTTCCCATTGGTAGGCTCCAGGCCCAAGCTTTTTTTTTTTTTGCAGTTTTTGGCCAGGGCTGGGTTTGAACGTACCACCTCCAGCAAATGGGGCCAGCACCCTACTCCTTTGAGCTACAGGCGCTGCCAATTTTTTTTTTTTTTTTTTTTGAGATAGAGTCTCACTCTGCTGCCCTAATAGAGTGCTGTGGCATCATCATAGCTTTCAGCAACCTCAAACTCTTGGGTTTCAGTGATCCTCCTGCCTCAGCCTGCTGAATAGCTGGGACTACAGGCACCCACCCTGAAGGTCAGCTAATTTTTTTCTATTTTTAGTAGAGACAGGGTCTCACTCTTGCTCAGGCTGGTCTTGAACTCTTGAGTTCAAGCAATCAGTTCAAGCAATCCACATGCCATGGCCTCCCAAAGTACTAGGATTACAGGTGTGAGCCATCTCCTTTGCCCCTGGCAAAGCATTTTTTAAAATATGGATAAAATATATATATATGTGGATAAAATCTAAAGGTGCTGACTTAAATCACTGTGTAACTGAGCCTCTTCCATAAACTGGGGATATTTGTCTCATAGGATTGTCATGAATGTGAAGCTCTCAGCACAATATCTGACACATACCAAGTACCTGATCAATTATAAACGTTACTTATTAATTTTTAAAAGTGAATTTACTACTGTATTTTTTCCTACAGAAAGTTTTTCTGCCCCCACCCGCTTTCTTTTTCCCTCCTGACTAGCTGATACCTGATGTTCCTCCTAAGCCTTTAGTAAATTATGAATTTGGCAAAGGTAGAGTTAGGCTCCTCTTCTAGCACATCTGATCCTTCTCCTGGCACTTGCCCCCACGGCTCTCATCTAGCACCCCCCCCAAATCCCCCTTTTTGAAAGCTTTGGTCATGGTCGGCTTTCCCCTGGCCCCTCCCGAGGTGCAGCAGATACTGGCTTTAGAAGCTCAGTAAGGTTGCTCTCAGTAGAGGAAAGAACAGGGCTGGGACTCCTGAGGTCCTGGTTCTTAACAAGTTTGTTGGGATTGCCTGTCTTTGGCTACGTTAATTCACTGCTTTTAGGCCCCAAATCCACCACTGGGGTTGTTGTGAAGACCAAATTATAATGTGAGTACAAGCACTTTTGGAAAAGGCTGTGCAAACAATAGCGATTATAAAACCTACTCATCTTTCAAAATGCAACTCAGGCAACTCCTCTGTACCACTGCTGCTGACAAAATGTTGCCCCCAGCCTGGGTAGAAAGGGTCACATTCTTCTTTGGGCCCCCACTGTCCATACCTCTATTGTAGCATCTATTAATTTGCATCTCCGCCTCCACACATTAGACATTCTTTGTTTTAAATGTATAGAACTTTGGTATTTTTACACTCCCATACAACAAGCAGAAGCAACCATGAGCCATGTTTCAAAATTGATGCCACTAATAGGTGCCATAGACTATGATGTGTCATGTTCTGCTACATTTCCACTACCCTCAAATTGTTCTTTTATTCTCTGGTACGTTGAGGAGATATAGTGATTTCAGGACTGGACGTGTTGTGATGTGGAGGGAATGGGTGCACACGTCCCCAGGGGCTTCCTTGAAGCTGTAAGAACACATTCTCCTAAGATCCCAATAATCTATATCTAACATGGTACTTGATATATAGCAGGGGCTTAACAGTTGAGTAAATAATTAAAGAAAATTCTTTAAGAAAGGACTCAGAAAGATTAAGAATCTTCAAGATCTAAATGAATCTCCAATGATAAAGACTCAGATTTCATGACAGGAGGTGAAGAAACAGGTTAAGACAAGTCACACTGCAGAGTTCAGTGGAGCTCAGTACTGGTATAAGTGTTTTCCATACAATAAGGTATGTGACCTATTCATTGTAGTTATTTATTCCCATGTCAATAAGAACTCGAGAAAGTACCCGTTGTCATCATTTATCTATGGTAGCAAATCTCTTTTTAAAAAGATAGCCACACATGTGTTGTTATGGAGTTTTCTGTATATAGTTCCTGTATATGGTCTCCTACCATATATAGGTAGGAGATTAGAGCAATGCTGTGTTTTCCATCAGCATATGGAGCATTTGGCTGGAAAAAATCTGAGTATGAGTAGACCCTCGCAGTTCAAACCAGTGTCATTCAAAGGTCAACTGTATGTGTTTTAGAGGGAACTTGGTTTATGACTTTTATTACCATGAATTTATCCTACACATAAATTCAAATAAATTAAGCTCTTCCTGTGTGTTTCCCCCCATTAGTCTTGTATGAAATAATGTAAGTTCTAGTCTTCCTTAAATTTCTGTGGTCTAGCTTCATGGTAAAACTTTATGGTTGGTTCTCACCATCTGGATCACCCTGGGGAAGGAGGGGGTATTGAACTTTGATTTCGCACATTATTTTAACCTTGGCTAATGGAAACTAGCTTCCTGTGTAGGTCCGTAATTTAAAGTTGAAATGTCCATAGACATCATATTTCATGGTGGGTTCATCCTAGAGGCTCTGAATCAATAAAGGAGTGGAGTAGACGGGGTCTCAGCAGAGGGCGTGTGAGGACCCCTCCTGCTGCTTCTCTGGGAGGTTAGGGGTTTACTGCACTTAGTCCTAAATATTTCATGTGCAGAAAGAGCTATGTAAGTTCTAAATATTAGTGGTAGGGGACATCTTTGGCAAAAAATATCACCAATTTCTTACAGCCAATGAATCAATTAAAATTTGTGGGCTGGTTGTGGAGGCTCAAGCCTATAATTCCAGCACTCTGGAAGGCTGAGGTGGGTGGATTGTTTGAGCTCAGGAGTTCGAGACCAGCCTGAGCAAAAGCGAGACCCCATCTCTACTAAAAATAGAAAAATTAGCTGGACTTGGTGGCAGGCACCCAGCTACTTAGGAGGCTGAGGCAAGAGCATCACTTGAGCCCAAGAGATTGAGGTTGTTGTGAGCTGTGTCACCCCAGCACTCTACCCAGGGTGACAGAGTGAGACTCTGTCTCAAAAAATAAATGTTAATTAATGAATGAAAAATAAAATAACATTTGTGGAATTTTTTTTTCTTTAAGAGACTAATCCATATATGGGAACTATTTTGAGAATCTTGCGTTCTATATTTTAATCTCTGATTAAATCTCATTCACCAGAGATATGATCTGTATGTCACAAATTTCCCTTTTTCCCCAACCTAGATAAGAGATGCTGATCCAGGCACAGCATTTGGAAGCCTCAGCTTAGGGTCCCCAGAGAACTCTCCTTGCTCTCTCCTCACCTCTGACTAGCTTATCACACTTTCCAAAGTGTCCCCTGGAATTTGGGTGGGTAGAAGTGTATCTATCTCGTTAGCTAAGTGTCCCCACTGAGGAACATTGCTCACCGGTGTGCTCTACTCAGTTGAAGCATATTACTAAAAAATGCAAAAGTTGTCAAGTTTGTCTGATTCCTATATATATATTTTTACAGGTAAGAACAGGTTCAAGGTAATCACTGTAACAATGTTGCTTTTACGCACTTACTTAGCACTGGACTAACCTGACTGTGCCCTGGGAGTGTATTAGCACTGGCATGTGTGGCATAGAAGGAGGAAGAAAAAAGGTCAAAAAGAACAGTGTTCGAGAATAAGCTCTTTGATCAGAATGTCTGTGTTTGAATGTCTTTGTTACCCACACAGGGCTAGGCAGCATGATGCCTCACACATAGTAGGGACTCAATAAATATATCCTGAATGAACTAATGCATGCAACCCAATTAGGAAATTCCAGGGACCATTATTCTGAACAAGAAAAACATTTATGTTACATTCTGGGGTTGTTTTAGCATCACATTCTAAAAAAAAAAAATGAATTTCTTTCTGCAAAAGTCTTCTTATAGGTAGAAATTAAGTCACACTTTGCTCACTGATGGCCTGTCCCACTGTCTAGACCCATTAAATACAAGGGTCACTTTCATAATCCACCAGCACAATATGTCTTATATTTTTCTGCCTAGGTGGTTCTGGTAAGATTGTCATTACAAGTTATTACCCTTAAATCTAACCTATTCTGAAGGAATAGGTGGCTGATACTGTCATTTGAGGACTAAGATATACTTGTCTAGACATTTGATCCCATCTGTATTTTTATTTAATGTGTAATTGGTGAGAAAATAGCAAAGACAAATTTAAATGCTTGCATCCCTAACCTTGTCACAGCGTCTGAGCATTCATTCATCATCATTATCTTGGATTCCTGCAGCCCGCAGACTTCATAGGAAAGCAAGCACTGAGACAGATTAAAGCCAAGGGGCTGAAACGAAGACTGGTCTTCCTCACCTTGGCAACGGATGATGTTGATCCGGAGGGAAATGAAAGCGTCTGGTACAATGGCAAGGTGAGTCCTGAGGACCTCATTGCCAGGGGACGCAATCTCTTCTATAACAGAAACTCCCCTTGTTCCTGTATGTTTCCTTTTATACTCTTTTGTTATTAATTAATGCATTTATTTATTAGAGGGATGATACATTTTGATTTTTGAACTAACATTCAAGGAACACCGAGCAATTAACTGAAAGGAAAATGAAATGCGGGTCATTTTTGGAAATGTAAAATTCCATATGCTTTGTTTAAAGAAAATAAACCCAAAGATTAAAAAATACATTGAACAATGAGGAAGGTACAGTTTAGAGGGTAAAATGATCAATTTGCTTGCCCATCCATATCTGTGAATGCAAAAGATGGGTTTTATAAAGAACTTGACATTCTGATTTGGTTTCCCGTGGACCTTGCAGAAGGAGGTAGTTAGCACATTAGCAGAAAGAATTTCCAAACGAAAACATCTAAGACAATAGACAGTAGAACCTTAAAGAGTAAAGTGAAAAGTGGAAACCATTTGATTCTTCGGGAAAAGTAAAATCACCTTCTCACTTTGGAATGTTACTTTTCATGATCTCTATTTGCACTCACTAAAACCAGGGTTAGTCAGAGAACTTATCAATGGGGCTTTATTTTCTCCACTTTTTATCACTTTGTAAAACCCAGTTTGGCTGACTGTTTGGATGTGTGTTGGCCGGTGTGGGCTGCCCACCTTAGGCCATGGATGGGGAGGGCACAGGGCCTGCAGGGCTTATCAGAGCAGCTGTTCCATATTGAACAGGGTCAGCTTGGTCAATACCCAAGACTCAAGAGATTCTGTGCCTGGGCTTTTTTTTTTTTCTCACTTACTGTGGCCTACTCAATATTGTTTCCGTTTTCTCAATCTCTTCAGTGCTTGGGGTGGGGAAAGTCAGTGGTGTCAAAGCACAGCTTTTGGATTACTAGAAAATTGGCAGTTTGGGCTGAGGTGTGGACCAGTTTGATGTAGGAGTGATGTCTACTGAGTTCTGACTATTAAGGTATAGCAGACATTGCTCAGGTGCTCTCTCAGTTAATTCATTTTATAGTACCCTTCCAGATGTGTCTGATTATCTCCATTTTGCTTGAGGTTACACAGCCAGTGGTTGATGGAGCCAATTTCCAACCCAGGTCTTTTTGGACTGTGAATTTCTGGTCCTTTTCTGGAAGGCATCCAGAATACTCCAGTCTATTCCCTTTTCTGTCTCCACCGATCTCTTCCTGTAGTCTCCTAATATTTTAATTATATCCCACACAATTCTTATACATCTGAGGAGCAGGTGGATGTTATCAGATACTATGAAGCCAAGAGACTTTTCTCAGATCTCAAGTTCCTTCACCTCTCAGACCTGACAGGCTGCCCTCTACCTCCGCCTTAAGTTGGGCTAAGTTTGCTCTTCTGTTTAAACTGTTCCTGCTTTCCTCTTTGTCTCCTCTTTCTGTTCTACATCTCTTGTTTAGCCCTCCTTTCTTAATATATGCTCCTCCTCCAATTTCAGATTTGCCCACAATTCATGAGATTTCTACTGATAACCAGCTCTGCCCTTAACTAACTGCTTGACCTGATCCTGGCCTGATCTTGGGGCCTCCGTCTTCTCATCTATAAAATGAAGCCACTGGAGGAGATAACATCTAAAGTTCTCTTTACTCAGTTTTGTTTTACTCATTCTGCTAGTGCATCTAGCAAAATATTTTGTATGTAGTAGAGCTAGAAGTGTTAAAATGCCATTTAATTAAGTGCCTTACAAGTGTTACATTTCCTCCATTTCATTTTTCCATGGCTTTATATATATATGTGTGTGTGTGTGTGTGTGTGTGTGTGTGTATTTTTTGAGACAGAGTCTTACTATGTCACCCTCAGTAGAGTGCCGTGGCATCACAGCTCACAGCAACCTCTAACTCTTGGGCTTAAGTGATTCTCTTGCCTCAGCCTCTTGAGTAGGTGGGACTACAGGTGCCTACCACAATGCCCGGCTATTTTTTGGTTGTAGTTGTCATTGTTGTTTGGCACACTTGGGCTGGACTCAAACCCGCCAGCTCCAGTGTATGTGGCTGGCACCCTAGCCTGTGAGCTACAGGCGCCAAGCCGCCATGGCTTTATGTTTTTGACTCTATTCCCATCCAACTGTCTCAGTACGGTCTATACTTACCGTTCCACCAACATTCTGTTTTATTCAGCCATGGAATGAAAAAGAGTTTAAGTTATAATATTCTGTGCAACCTCCATGTCAACCACAATTAATGGACAGATTTTTAGCTGTCTTAAATATGATGAGGCCCAAATTAAAATTAAAAAAACCCTGAAAGCCCAAGTTCCACTTTAAAATTTTATTTTCTTTGCCCTATGTGTACTCTGAGTTACATGCTATATATAATAATTCATCTTTCCCACCTCATGCCATCTGCTTACAGAGCTGCTAATCTAATTATAGAATTATATCTCTTAAATTTCCTAATATATCATCTCATCATGCAGATGGTCCTTCTTTTGATCTTCTTTTTCAAAGGCCCGCCTTTGATCCTCTTTATACTCTGGAAGGAAAAGGGAATACTTTTCGCTTTTTATTTCCTGACTTTGTCCTGACTTGTGTTGCTTTTGGTATGTCCTATTTTATTTTTGCAAATCTTCCCAATGCTGGAGACAGGGTCCAAATGTATTCATTTATTCAGCAACTGTTTATTGAGTAGCTACTATTCTAGGCCCTGGGTATACAGCAGTGAAGAAAATGGACCAGAATCTCTGTCCTTGTGTAGTTGACATTCCAGGGGGGAGAGAGACAGACAATGAACAAACTAAAATATACAGGATGTCAGATAGTGAGGAATGCCCTAAGGAAAAGTAAAATCCAATTGGCAGTGCTAGAGAAAGAGATTATAATTTTAAATAAGGTTTAATTTTTAAAAATCAAGGCATAAGAATGGTTCTAAGAAGGGCTTTCATTATGTTCGGTGGATTAGTTATAAAGAAAGCTTAGCTTGGAAGGGAGTTTTGAAGAAAAGTTTTGTAGGGAAGTTTGGAAGGTTTAGGTTTTCTTTTTCTTTATTTATAAACTAAAACACAGGCATATTCAAAGAAAAACACTAAATTCAACTTAAATTCTGTTAACTTCCTTCAAAGACCATTTGCCATATTGTCTTCTGTAAGTTTGTTAGAGATTTCTCATAATTTAAGAGAAGAAAGAGAAAGGGTTAAAAAAAATGAGAATTACGAGCAGCGCCTGTGACTCAAACGAGGCGCCAGATGCATATGCCAGAGGTGGCGGGTTCAAACCCAGCCCCAGCCAAAAACTGCAAAAAAAAAAAGAGAGAGAGAATTATTTACATCGGTTAAAAAAAAAATAGCCCATGTTCTATTTAACAAAGAATAAGAATCCAGTAGGCAGAGGATGGGGACAGGTTGTTCTTAGCGTTAACTGAACAAAAAGAAGGAATGGATCTAATTGAACCTAGAAGATTTTAAGGTACAACTATTTAAAATTTATCCCAGAAAAACATTTCCCTGGAGATGTAGTAATAAGATGAAAGGAAAGGTCAGACTTCTAAAATACCCTGGGCTGCTCACCCCTGGATTAGAGAGAAATTAAAGTAGACGTGAAAGTAAATTCCAGCAGAAGGCAAGACATATTTTTAAAATAGCACTCACAAAACAAGGACTCTATTTCTCTGGGTTACTAATGCAGAAATGACTGCAAGACGAGTTACTGCTAGGCTGTTAGGAGAGGGGAAGGGCGGAGGAAAGGGCTTCCCCGGGCGACCCGGGGCTTTTCACCAGTGAGTCAGGGAGTCGCACCCAGAGACTTGCTCAGGTCTCTTCCTGTTTTCTCAGGACTGGGTGCAAAGAGCAAACCCCGAACTCTGTTTTACAGACTACAAGCATTTGCGGGGAGGAACAGGATTCTACTTGTTCCTCTAGGGCAGGGTTTTTCAACCTTTTCTGTCTCACGGCACACCTGAACCTCTAGTTAAACTTTTGTGGCACACTTAAAGTGTTGATCAAAAGAGAGAGCAAAAATATATATACACTTACTGTGCTTTGAACTTCTTTTGAAAATTTATTTATTTATTTATTTTTAATTGTTTTTTTTTTAGAGACAGAGTCTCACTTTATCACCCTCAGTAGAGTGCCATGGCTTCATAGCTTATAGCAACCTCCAACTCCTGGGCCCAGGCTATTCTCTTGCCCCAGCCTCCTGAGTAGCTAGGACTACAGGCGCCTGCCACAATACCCAGCTATTTTTTTGTTGCAGTTTGGCCGAGGCTAGGTTTGAACCCGCCGCCACCCTCAGTATATGGGGTCGGTGCCCTGCCCATGGAGCCACAGGCACTGCTCTCTTTTGAAAATTTAATTAATGATCTTTTAAAAATTTCACAGCACACCTAAGATCCTCTCATGGCCCCCCAGTGTGCAGGCACAGTGGTTGAAAATCACTGCTCTAGAGTGTCTAGGAAAATATTTTATACACAGTAAAGCTAGCAGTGTTAAAATTACCATTTCAGTGACTTGCAGTTGCCACAAATTGTGAACATATTAGATATACTGCATATAATCTTTCTTATAGAATGTTTGCTTCCCGTTGACAACTGATAACATGTACATCAATAGCTATAGTTAGTTCCCCGCTATTTTGGCAGGCCACTTTCTACATCTCAACAGGGACAGTTGACTAAGTTTGCATTGGATATTTAGATTCTCACTCCTCTTATCTATTTTCCTCATGCTAGTTTGATGATAAAGGAGAAATTTTTATTTTAAATTTAAAATTAGGGTATCTGATTCTTCCTCCTATCAGATTTCTTGGCATGACACTGAGTAAAATAGCACTGGTATTAAGAAATTTTGTGCAGCTCAGTGCCTGTTCCTCAAGCAGCTAAGGCGCCAGCCACATATACCTAAGGTGGCAGGTTCGAATCCAGCCTAGGCCCGCCAAACAACAATGAGGCTGCAACCAAAAAATAGCTGGGTGTTGTGGCGGGCGCCTGTGGTCCCAGCTACTTGGGAGGCGGAGAAAGGAGACTCGCTTGAGCCTAGGAGTTGGAGGTTGCTGTGAGCTGTGATGCCATAGCACTCTACCCAGGGTGGCAGCTTGAGGCTCTGTCTCAAAAAAAAAAAGAAATTTTGTGTTCTTTCTTAAAAATGAGAAATTTCAGAGTAATACAGATGTGTACCTTCAGAATTATTTTTCATCATTTGTAAACTCTCAGTAATCTACTCCCCATGTGAAGTTTTCCTCCTGTGTCTGGTATTATCCCCACAGACAGCATCTCATAAAACATCCGTGTTGTAAGTTGACTCTATAGTTCAAGTTCTTCACCTGGAGATGGGGAGCATAGTTCTGTGACTGAGATGGTTGTGTGACTAGACGGTTGTGTCTTATTTTCCAGGTGGTCGGCAACACAACATCTGGAAGCTACAGTTACAGCATCCAGAAGAGTCTGGCTTTTGCATATGTCCCCGTGGAACTAAGTGAAGTGGGACAGCAAGTGGAAGTGGAACTGCTGGGCAAAACTTACCCGGCTGTCATCACGCGAGAGCCCTTGGTATTGACAGAGCCAGCCAGAAACCGGCTTCAGAAAAAAGGTGGAAAGGACAAGGTTTGAAAAAGGCCTTTAGCAATCAGCTGAATGATAGTTGCTATACAACTATATTTGATGTTATTCTAATTCAGCGGTTCTCAACCTGGGGTTCGTGACCCACAGGAACTGTATTAAAGGGCCACGGCATTAGGAAGGTTGAGAACTACTGTTCTAATTGGTTCCCAGGGTACTCAAGGAACCCAAGATTCATTTTAAAATCATCAAAGTCTAGATTTAGAATCTTAATAAAATCTTTCTCTTCATTGTTCTCTAAGCAAGATAAAATACTGGATTATTAATTTATATTGTTCTTTCAAATGAAGAAATTTGAAAAGAATGGCTTTCATTCAATATTACTCAATCAGTGAAACATTTCGGTGTTTGCTAATATACAATCATTCTTATAATTTAATTTAAAGGACATTACCTAATTTTAGTAACATATACCTATGATTCTTGATAGCCGAAAACAAATCAATTACTTTTTACATAAAAACAAATACAATACTGTTTGATGGAGTTACTTCGCTGAGATATGTTTCCTTAGTAAGTGGTAGTTTTAATTTTTCATAAATTATCTTTAAAGAGAATAGTTAAGTTGAACATCAATAAATAACTTTTTTCTTCCATTCTCTGGAATAAGTGTTATTTTCTTAATGACCTCCCTGAAAGCACCTTTATAGGACATCATTAGTGTCCTTTCAAAGAGAAAGTATAAAAAAGAACAGAGTCTTCTAAAGGAAGCGGTACTTGTGAACCTTCAGAAATGAAGCTGAAACATAAATAGACTGTGCCAGTACAAACACAGTGTGAATACTGAGCACCTCTTTCTGGGGCAGAATTAATGCAAGCTGACATCACACGGCACTGTTCTGAAGATCACTTCGCAAAGCATCTGACAAGGCAGGTCAAACTAAAGCTGAAGACCTGCCAGGATTGTCCTCAGCTCTATGTCCCTCAAGGAAAAAAAAAAACAAACCCATCTAGAAATAATTCTTTGATAGGCTTCTTGAAATTATTTGAGTTTAGTTGACTGAATTAATACAAATTTTTTGTGAAAAAGTATCCAGCCTACTCAATACAAATATGAAACCAATATATAAACAACTACAAGTCACACAAAAGAAAACACAAGGTGGTCTAGTGAGGAGAAGGGAGAGGAAAAAGAGGGGAGGGGGGAGGAGGAAGGGTGATGGGCGGGATCTCACCTAAGTGCACAGTGTGAGGGTGTTCAGCACATCCCCGGGCTCACCTACAACTTGAACTTTACCTTAGAAATGAAAACAATGTAACCCAAACCTTTGTATCCTCGTATCGATCTGAAATTAAAAAACAAAATTTTGTAAAAGGTAGTTTTTTCATTCATACTAATAAATAATTTATACACACATTTGCCACACATTTATTGAACTTTTCCTAAGTATTTAAAAAAAAAAAACTGAATGAGATTCTCTAATTAGAATAAACTTTAAGATGATTTGTTAACTTGCAAGGTTTGAAATGGTGCCAGGTTTACATTTTAAATGTTTTTTTTTTTTTTTTTGACAGAGCCTCAAGCTGTCCCCCTGGGTAGAGTGCCGTGGCATTACAGCTCACAGCAACCTCCAACTCCTGGGCTCAAGCGAGTCTCCTGCCTCTGCCTCCCAAGTAGCTGGGATCACAGGCGCCCGCCACAACGCCTGGCTATTTTTTGGTTGCAGCCATCATTGTTGTTTGGCGGGTCCGGGCTGGGGATTCGAACCTGCCACCTTAGGTGTACGTGGCTGGCGCCTTAGCCAGTTGAGCTATAGGTGCTGAGCCCATTTTAAATGTTTTATAACAACAAACGTGTATTAGAACTCCTGAAGATGCCATTTCTCTTTGGTGTATCCTCTTACATAGGCAAAGAGAGAAATCCCCTGGGTAACAGACATATTCTAGCTATCCTGAATATTACCTAGCCAGGTGTCCTCAAACTATGGCCCTCGGGCCACATGCAGCCCACCTAGGACATTTATCCAGCCTGCCAGGTGTTTTTGCCGCCGCTGCCTGTCCTGCTTAGCAGCCAACTCATCCTGGGGCCCACAGTCTGGCCCTCCAATGGTCTGAGGGACAGTGAACTGGCCCTCTGTTTAAAAAGTTTGAGGACCCCTGAGTCTAGGCTCTCTATCCCAGGTCCAGTGTTGGGTGTGGGTTAAAGTCTTTGTCTGGGATTTGGGAGATCCACTTCTCATTCTCTGCCCTTCTGTAGTCCTGTGACCTTAGGATGGTTACCTACCCTCTCTGGGTTCTTCCACTGTGAAATAGGTTTAGATTCTCCCAGTGCTTTGTAATTATAGTGGCAAGAAGAACAATGAAAGTACAACATTGAATTCACATCATACAGTTAATACAGGACTAAAACCAGTAAATCCAAAGAACATCTAGATAAATGTTAAACTTTTAAGGAAATTCTACCCACAATACAAAAGAAGCCTATTTCCTAACTTCCTTAAGAAGTTGCCCCCTTGGTTCGGAGCCCATAGCACGGTGGTTACACTGCCAGCCACATACACCAAGGCTGGCGGGTTCAAACCTGGCCTGGGCCAGCTAAACAACGACAGCTGCAATAACAACAAGAAAAATAGCCAGGTGTTGTGGCACAGGCACCTGTAGTCCCAGCTACTTGGGAGGCTGAGGACAGAGAATTGCTTAAGCCCAAGAGCTTGAGGTTGCTGTGAGCTGTGATGCCATAGCACTCTACTGAGGGCGACATAGTGAGACTCTGTCTCAAAAAAAAAAAGTTGCCCTTGTTCCCTCTTTTGTTGTATGCTTGGTGCTATTAGCTTTGCAGGTCAGACCAGACCCCCACTCCCACCCAGCCATCATCCTGGCTCAGCACCAAGTTTAGTATCAACCAATTCATCCACCGACCATTGACTTGAGACACAACTTGACAATGGAAGTACAAGCTGATAACCAGATTTCTTCCATGGGGAACTTGGTCTGTGAACCATCAGAGAATAATTTGATTAGTACTAAAAGCTGGAGCTTGCAAAGTTGCACAGAAAGAAAAGCCATGAGGCCTAGGACCAGTGAGCACTCCCAGCAGGGAATAAGACCTTGAGAAAAAGGTGGAGGGAGAGGAAGACAGCCCCTGAAGCTCTCAGCTCCTGTGGCTTTTTGGCCGGTTCTTGGGTAAAAGCCTTGATTTAAAAGAGACCAAGTAAAACCACTAGCTTCTAGCCATGCACTGAGAGAGGCCTCAAAGGAATGGGCTCAGGATTGGCGTCAGCCTTCAACAGCAAACAAGCAGCATGCTTGAAAGTCCTCTAGTGATGTGCAGAAGACCGTGTCTGCAGCTCAGAAAAACATTCTCAAGAATGTGATGATGGCACTCTCTTCTTTTGAGTGAGGAAAGCCTTTTGGAACTGCAAAAACACTCTCCAGTCAACGCGTTATCAAAACATTTATGGATGTTGTTATGCTGCTAATGTTCACATCCTAACTAACCTGTGTTTTTTTCCTTTGCTACTGATAAGGAAAAGTGACAGAAAATAAAACCATTTTAAAGTATGCTGTGTGGGACATTAAATAGCAGGCGGATAAGATTCTGGAATTTTACTGAAAGAATTTTGTGCACATTTGAATTGAACAAAAGGAAGCGTTGATATTCTGGGGAAATAAAGCAACTATGAAAGGAAGAAAGTTTCAGCTACACAAATAGCGTCCTTTAGCCCTGTAGTCAACGTCCAAAAAGGAAGTCCCAGAGAGACTTATTCAGTGTATGGCCCTTGATATACTGGGGAGTCTAAGATGAGGTGGCTGTACCCGGCGAGGAAAAGTGGAAGAGACTAGAGGGCACGTTTGTGGGAGAGAAAAGGGGGCTGAGCTCCTGCAATAACTCGCCCGATCCCGAGAGGAAGGCATGAATGAAAAGGCCATCGCCTAAACATCTCCCACTTTGCCAGACCTCCCAACACTGCCACATTGAAGAATTAAGGTTCTGGGGTGGCACCTGTGGCTCAAAGGAGTAGGGTGCCAGCTCCAAATGCCAGAGATGGCGGGTTCAAACCCAGCCCCGGCCAAAAACTGCAAAAAAAAAAAAAAACAAAAATGAATTAAGTTTCTAATACATAAATTATTGGGGGAACAGACTCAAACCATTGTGTGTATAGAAAGCTGCCTTATGAATGATGAAAGGGTAACACATTATTTACTTGTATTTTCCCCATGTACAGATTTTGGAAGTCGTAGCATGCCTTGAAGCACAGAGGTGGGGGTGGGGAGGGCACAGAGGCTACTGGGCTAAAAGCCACAAGACCTGCTCCTCCCAGGACTGCCATCAGCCAAGCCCAGTCTACATAACGTCTTCTAAAGCTTTTTAAATTCTGTGAGTATTGCCCTGTTTAGTGAAGTGTTCATCAGTCTGCATATGTTTATTGAGTAGTTACTATAGTCCAGGCACTGCAAAAGCAGTGGTCAACCAACAGACCACATGGCCCCTACCTGCCTGGAGCTTCCCAGATGGGCTATAAAGACATCAGTTAGGGCGCATTCAGCTGCAAGGAAAAAAAGAAAATCCTATTAATAGTGGGTTAAGCAATTATTTATTAAACTGTTGAACAAGAAGTGTGGAGGTAAGCTCAATGATCATTATATATATCAGTTCGCTTTTTCTCTGTCAAATCCTCCCTCCCAATTTTAATCTCACATATATATGATTAAATTAACACATTTTTATTGTTTAGATTTTAATACACATTATATTCCACATGGATGTTAATTTGGAGAATCCTCAAATTATACCAAGTTATACCCATGGGCCCCCAACACTTACAGACTCAGCTACATGTATTCACTTTTAGAGTAAGTTTTTAACTGTTGGAATTATTCAAGTTTACTTCAGGTTCAGTTTGTATCTTATTAAATCCCTGTGGAACTAGTGATCCTACATTTAAACGGTACATTGGAAATAAATAATGACAGTAGAGTGATTATAAATACAAAAACCCCAGAACTTGTGTTTTCCAGTCCTGTCATTCTATGTGATGAGAGTTTCTGTTTCTGTTTATTATATGAGACAGAGGGCAAACTTTGAGGTACCACACTGTGTTTGGTAAGGACAAAGTGTAGTCCCTATATGAAATCATGAAGTATCACTCTGGTTTTGAATTTAGTTTTTAAATTCAAATTTCTTCTTTTTAAAATGTTAATTGTATCAAAACTAAGGAAAGTATTAAAAACTAGACAACCCTACAATTTTATAGTTACCTAAGTTGTAAATTCTTGGTAATTTACTGGTGGCTGGACAATTATTTATTTATTTATTTTTTACTTTTTTTTTAATAGTTTCAGGTTAATTTGAGGGTATAAAGAATTAGGTTACAAAGTTTGCAGTTGTTAGGTAGAATGCCTCTTATAATTGTGTCCCACCCCCAAGAGGTGTGCCATACACCTTAACATTGCACCCATTAAGTGGAAACACCCCCATCCCTCTCTCTTCCCTTCTCCCTGCTCCCCTGTTCCTCTGTCCCCCACCTGGAATTGATTTGAAATTTTTCTCTTATGTTGAGATCTATTAGATCATCTACTGGCTTCTTATTAGTACTGAGTCCATTGGATTCTGGCTTCTCTATTCTTGTGATACTTTACTAAGAAGAATATGTTT